ACCTTTTCTTAATTTATAATATTTGGAGAAATTATGTTAGAATTTTAAGATATATAAATAAGACAAGAGAAGCTGCTAGACATTCCTTTGAGTACACTCTATTCTACACTGATAATAGTTGACTTTTATAGGTAATATATTTCGTCACGATTGATAAAGAGAATCATGGTGAAATATCATACTATTTATCTAAGGTTAAAGAATTTTTTTCAATTGAAATCTTTGTAAAAATTGAAAATCCTTATAGTTTAAATAAATTTAAATAAAATCTTCCAAATGCAATTGTAAACAAGCAAAGTAAATATACAAATATCGCACTTTAAAATGAATATAGAAAACGAGAGACAGAATGTCTCACTGTGGATTTAGATCTTCTCCTCTTGTTTGTCTTATGTTTCCATTCAGCTCTAATCTCAACCATTCATTTATTATATTATTATTTCTTTGTCTTTTTATTTTTTCTTAAATTAAAAGGAGAGATGGCAGCATCAAAAGGGCAAGAGAGGATACATGCTTGTTAAAACATTTTGCTAAATAAATTGTCTAAAAAAATATGATTATCAAATATAATATAGAGTAAAAGACCCATATTCTAACATAAATAATTTCATAATCATATCATAATGCAATAATTAAATGTATTTAAACCATCCAAAACATTCCTGATGCAATGAAACTGATTCAAAATCTCTTACTAGTGCATTATGACTCATAAACTCAATAAACTAAGGCCAATGACATTCCTGATGCAATGAAACTGATTCAAAATCTTCAATAATAAAAGAAGTGTTGATGTATCCCTCTGCAGCTTGTTGAATGCTACTTTCTAAATTTTTTAATAAAATTAGAAAAAAATATTTATAGAAAATATTTATGAAAAATCCTACACTTTTTAATTGTTAATACATTATAGGCATTCCAAGATGGTTCACTCCATAGGAGAAAAAAAAATAATCACATCAATTGTTTTCACAAAACTAATCATAGTAATTTTCTGATAAAACTGTGTTGCACTTCCAGCATTCCTGCACAGCGGATCAAAGAAAATCCAAACAAATTTCATCATGCCAACGAATGCATACCATAATTATCATTAGATGTTAAGTAACTACTATGTCAAAATGAAATTTCACCATTTCAACACTAGTTTTTATAGTGTGATTGTTGAGAAATTATTTGCCGTCTAACAAAAATTAGTTTGATTTACAAACAACACCAATGTCTCCGCACTACAGTCAAAGTAATAGCAACAAATTAAGAAGCAAACAAATAGATGATTTATTATTGTAAGTAGAGTAGTATAAATAAAAGTAAACGAGTATACAATCCTTTTGCCAGGCAATGCAAGAATTAATAAAGTGTAAATGACGGAGAGATACAAAAATCCAAATTTCAGTCGAAAGAGAAAAGGTAGTTCCAACATGTTATCTGAATAAGTGTAGTTGTTATAGTTGTATAAAAGCTTAAAGAAGACTCTGGAGGAGGAACAAAGGATACTGTCCTCTCAATATTCCAATCCATTTTAGGCTTTCATTTTGCTTCTTTTGAATACTAAAAATCTGAATCTGGAAGACTCTGGAGTATTGTCTCCTAAATGGGTTAGGATGCATGGACCACGTTGTAATTAATGACGCATTCATGTTTTCAACTATCAAAAAACAAAAAGAAAAACAAGAAACTGTTGAATAGTGATTAATCAATGAGAGATGAAAAGCTGCAGAACCGTACGTTCCTCTATTTTTTGTTGCATACTGTATTTATTACCTTTTGGTGTGTCATGCATATTTCTGCTTCAACGTTTTGGTTGCATACATGCGATGAAACCTATGATATCCAACACAAGCTAGCTTTTCTCACTTAACAATGTTCTGTTTCGGTCAAGGTTACTTCAAATATCAATGGTACTAATTATTGTTATTTGGCGCGATAAATATGTTGTGCACTTTGTCAAAAAATGAAATTTGAATTAATGGATGAATCAATCTTTGTAGTTATTGACACATTTTATCATATTTTTGGTGCCTGAAATTGTTAGTTTATTTTGAAATTATTATGTTATGAATTTTGTTATTATAGTTTTTTGGCTAAGTTTTTTTAAACAAGTTATTTGACATAATGTTTTGACATGTTGTGTGACTTTTTGGCGTGAGCATGTTACTTCGAGTATGTTTTTTCTTCAAAAGAATACATATATATGAAGAAAAAAAATATCTACAAAATACAGGCACAAGGAGTACTAAAGCATCAATGTAGAAAGAATGAAAAACAACTGTAGTAAAAGGTTGAGTTCAGCGGTTTGATACTCAACGCCAGGATTTTGGCTAATTTCTAAACCATTCACCGTGTATGTTCCTTCCAACTATAGTGAAAGTGTAGTGCATAAGATATTACTACGGTTAAAGATTCCAACTTTTACGATATGTACATTTTAGTTTGTTATTACTTATGTGAAATGCTTATTACACCATTTATTCACTAAATATATAACCTTTAAATTTGATTTAGAAAACAATAATATAACAAATAAAGTTATATTGAAAGAACAATTTACATTAATCGATGTTGTACGAGCTTTATACAACACATTATCCCTATTTTACTCTTTAAGATTAGAACTTGTTTCAATGCTTTTAATTCTTCTTCTAACACTTCATTCACTACTAGTTCGTTTTTCAAAGTATTAATAACTCTGCAGATAGAACTATTAGTGAAAGAAGTGATAGCAGAAGAACTAGAAGCATTGAATCAAATTCTAACAATTAAAGAGGAAGATATGAATAATTGGCTGCAAAAAGCTCGTAAAACATTGATAAGTGTAGGTTGTTTTCCAACATAACTTAATAGTTCATAGTATTATTTTCTAATTCAATTTAAAAGGTTATGTAGTAAGTGAAGGGTTGGTAAAACACTCAAACCACATACGATTTAATAAACTCATCTTCTAGGATATGTTGGTTGGATAAAATGAAAGCTGCAATGAACAACGAACATCACTAATAGTTACACAAGCAACAACGTTTTTCAACAAAAACGTATAAAATTACACAAACAAAAACATTTATCAACAAAAAAACTGCTTTAACATAAACAACAAGTTACCTCTACAAAAACATCAATAATAACAAAAACAACAACATACCTAAACAAACATAATAAAAAAACATCTACAATAACACAAACAAAAACATACCTAAACAAACATAATAAAAAAACATTTACAATAACACAAACAACAACATTTACAAAAAAACAAATCACTTTAAAATAAACAACAAGTTACCTTAACCAATTAATAACATGCCTTATATTTCATTAACATAAATTTTCAACTCATAGAATATTTCATTAACGTAAATTTTCTTGAAAAGTTTTGTTGAGAATAAAGACAAAAAATGAGTTATTTGTCTCATATTGTAAAGATTCGTGGAACCTTTCCTTAATTCATATTTGTTAGAGAAGTTATGTTGGATTTTTGAGAGATTGAAATAAGATGAGAGACGTTATAGTTTCGATTGAGTACAGTCTGTTCTGGAGTGTTATTAGTTAGCTTTTATAGGTAATATATTTTATCATGGTTGATAAAGAGAATCGTGGTGAAATGCCATACTATTTAACTACGGTTCTTATTATGGACCATTGTGAAAAGTGTTTAATTTTTATTTAAAATAGGAATTATGGGAACACACCCTATTTTAACGGAAAAAATATAAAATTTCATGTGAGCGGATTCGAATCATGTCAGTGTTTCACATATTACAATAGTTGTTTAAATGAACTGTGATTATATATTATTTACAAATAAAAAATGAAAGACATCTAATGAACATATATTATTTCAATTGATTAAGTGGTTGTAGTAATACATTGTTACGAAAAGTGATTTTTGTAATAGTGATTAAATCATTTCATAATCCCAAATATCTTTATTAGAGTACATATATATAGTGTTTGAAATTCTGTTCGTTTAAAAACAAGATATCTCACACAATGTTGATACAATGTGAGAGACAACTTGATTTGAGATAAGCAATGAACAATTTAAACAAATAACAAATAACAGACACAAAGAATTGGTAATTCTATTCGGTGCAACGTCACTTATGTCTGTAAGGTTGTAGCTTAAAGGAAATGAAATTAAGTTATTCAAATAGTCAAAGTACACGACATTCTCATCTGAACTCTCCTGATTCAGTGTTCTTTCTCAATACTACGTGTGAATTTCAATTCCTTCTTTCCCTGAATCTAATATCCCCTCATTTTCGCTCAAACATTTTCAAGAGTTTGCAATAACCAATTATTTATAGTGAGACAAAAATGACGATTATTGACCAACTATTCTATCTCTATGAAATATGAAAGACTCTGTCGAATAGAGTATTATACATTAAACAAAATATAAAGACTCAAAGAAACTCAAGTGCAGCACATGCGATTTCTTTCTTCAAAATGGCTATGTATTCAACTAAAAAGAACTGGTTCTTTATATAGGAAATACGATCCAACCAAAAATCTCAATTGAGAGTAATCAAGAATCAATTCAATCAAATATTTAGCAAATCTAATCTTTTTATATTAAACAAAATCCAATCAAATCTTTTTCATTCTAATTATTATTTAATTAAAACTTTTTCAAACGATTAAAGAATCCTTTCAAAATGAATTATGTGATAAAATTAAAAATCCTTCTAATTTAAATAAATCTGAATTAAATCTTATAAACGCAATTATAAACAACAAAACAAACACTTTAGGAAGAATATAGAAAATCAGAGACAGAATGACTCACCATTTTTTAAGACATTTGGCTAAACAAGTTATCTAAACAAATATGTTTATCAAATATAATAATAGTGTTAGTATTGGATAATAGAGGGAAAAGACCCATATTCTAACTTAAATAATTTCATAATCATATCATAATGCAATAATTAAATGTATTTAAACCATCCAAAACATTATAGTTCAATATTTTTGAAAATATGACTCATAAACTCAATAAACTAAGGCCAATGACATTCCTGATGCAATGAAACTAATTCAAAATCTTCAATAATAAAGGAAGTGTTGATGTATCCCTCTGCAGCTTGTTGAATGCTACTTGTCGTTCCTTGTTGAAATTGGAAACTTGGATGTGGATCATATCCTTCAATCTCTCCAAACCCTTCTACTGTTTCATCACCAAATGTTTGAGTCCTCACATCAGCTTTCTCTTTTAGCTTTTCCTTCAACTCCATGACCTGCTCAGGGCACAGCAGCCAATTCGAGTAAAAAGTTATAAGCACCAACTGACAATGACACCAGTGACTCGTTACTCATAAATTTTTTGAAAAATAGCAATTAAAATTACATCTTTGAAAATGGACACTGAGGAAGGATAGTAATTGTGATGTGATTTAAAATCACGCGTGCTATCCTAATTTCATAAATTGCATCAGACAATATGACTTTTGTTTAAACAATTTTTCCATAAAAAATCAAGTTTCATAGTTCTATTAAAAAATTATAATTTTAAGCTTCTCTCAGTTGTATATTTTAAGTACACCTCCCAATACACATTCATGCTGCAACAGTCGCAATGCGCATAATAATCACACTCGCAACATGCAACTGCATCCACAACTCCAACTACAATTTAAAACCATCTGACAGAGATACATAAGAGATGCGTGATAAATTAGTTTTAGTTACCTCTTCTTTAAGCTTCTGATTTTCTTGCTTAAGCACGTCACATGAGTGTTTAAGAACATCACATGAATATTCAAGCTGCTTGGTCTTCCACCTAGTACGCCTATTTTGGAACCAGACAGCAATTTGGCGAGGATGAAGCCCTAACTCAGCAGAAAGCTTCATCTTTCTTTCAGGCGCTAACTTTATTTCATCTTGAAAACTCCTCTCCAATGTTTCAACTTGATTACTTGTTAATTTTATCTTCTTGTTCTTCGTCTTCTTCTCTCCGCAGTTATTTCCTTTATTAATCACAGGAGGCCACCTTTGTTGAATCTCACCCAATTCCACTTCACTAGCTTCCATTCCTAATAATCCAATATAAACAAGTAGTGACTTTGAGAAATATATTTAATCTATTTTATTTCTTTGCACACCTATCATACATACATTTTCTATTTTTATTTTTAATCATATCACTAGTATCTCATGACTTTCTATAGACATAGTATTTTATTTACCTGAATAAGTGTAGTTGTTATAGTTGTAGAACAAGCTTAACGAAGACTCTAGAGGAGGCACAAAGGGTAACGTCCTCTCAATATTCCAATCCATTTTAGGCTTTCACTTGAATACCAAAGACTCTGAATAAAGAAAACTCAGGATGAGAAAGAAAGGGTATTGTCTCTTTTATGGGCTAGAATGCATGGACCACGTAGTAAATAGTGGTGCATGTTTTCAACGTTTTATAGTGATTCTATAAAAAAAACAAAAACAAAAACAAGAAACTGTTGAATAGTGATTCCTCAATGAGATATGAAATGAAAAGCTGCAGTACCGTACGTTCCTCTCTGTCTCTACTTTTTGTGTCATGCATATTTCTGCATCAACGTATTGGTTGCATACATGCGATGAAACCTATTACATGAACACAAGATAGCTTTTTTCACTTTCCTCAATGTTGTTGCAAATAAATAGTGATACAACTAATTCTATTAATTCTTGGAGGTTACTAGCTTTTTGATTTCATGATCAAATGTAAGATTCGTTTTTACCAATGCAAGTTCTACATTCAATTCACTTTCTCAACGCAATGTCATATGAGCATCTCGATATGAGAGTTTTTCTTCTGCTTCCATGGCTCGTCAAGGAGGGACAAATTATAAATATATTTAATACCATATATTTCTTCGATTGTAGTGGATAACATAGAGGTAAATTAATTTTGGGTACATGTTTTGAATCTTAACAACTATAATTTATGTATTTAGTTCTTTAAAAATGACACCTTTCTTTTAATTTTATTTTTTATTTAATTATTAAATAATACTTTTCTTCAGCTAAATCCATAATTGAGGGATATGATATAGGTGTTTAACTATAAAAGGATCCATCACTAAATTTTAGCTTAAACCTAACTCATATGCAACCATTTCATATTTGTAAATATCATTGTTTATGATGAATTGCACGACAGAAAAATATTCCATGTAATTGGCGTTGAGGAAATCCAGTGGTGACTGATACTAATGAATTGGTGGTGACCATTCATTTCACTTGCAAGAAGTTGCAGTCAAAGGTAGTGCACCTAATGTGGGCTTGAAGGAGTTGGAGACTTGGTTCCAAATCTTTGGAGTCATGGGAAGTCATTTTGAGACATCTAAGATGTCATGCCAAGTTCAAATCAAGGAGAATCAAGAGTCTAAGGAGTTACTAAATTAGGATTTCAAAGGATGTCAGTGTAAAATCCCCTTCTTTAGGAGATAACTTCAAGGACAAGTTACATCATGATACAAGTTGAATCTCACTTTCTTATAAACATAATACTTATAGGGCATGTTCTAAGCTTTCTTTTTAGTACTAGAACTCATCCATTGGGCTTGTGGAACTCAAGTTATGATGCTATCAAGTTATGGGTCTCAGATGAACATATTTTTCAGTCAACTCACTTCCAAGGTACTTTTGACCTAGAATCATGTTTCTTCTCAACTTTTGATGAACATGAAAGTTATTCCTCATGATCTTAGGTTTCCAAAAGGTCCTAGAAGTCCTTGATATCATTTGTGGAACTCAAGTTATGAAGCTTGCAAGGAAAGGGTATTTTGGAAAACTTTGATTAGAGATCATTTTCATTATGGGTCATTCTCATGCACTTAAGTACTTCAAATGGAACTTCAACCAACATGAAAGTTGCTACAAATTACTTCATTTACATCATGAAACTCAAGATTGACATGAATTGTACATGATTATGGACATTGGTGGAGAAATTCAAGTGAAAATGCAACTTTAAATCATGATTCCAGTTGATGTGGTTATAGGTCTTTTTCATGCCATGTTTTCATCCAATTTGGTTCACATTGATTCAACAAGCAAAATGTACAAAGCTATTTTGGGTCATGAGGTGAAAAACACCTGGAATTTCAACTAACTTCACAAGAAATTTTCACATCCAAACTTGCAATTTGGACCACAAACAAAGCCCCCTCCAATTCGAATGTGTAATTCAAGTTCTCAGCTGCAAAACCAAATGAAATTCAAGTGTGTATGCATTGGTTTTCACGTGGGCATGAGCAAATCATAACTTTTGGGCATTTTGCAAAATCAGCCAAACAAGGCTTCATGGGCCTCTAATTCATTTCCATATCCAACATATAAAAGCTCAAAGTTAGAAAGGAGCTCCCAGAAGTGCAATTTCGTGGAGGGAAGAGCAAATTCAGTTTTAGAAATTTGAGAAAAAAAATTCAAAAATCGTGAATCCAGATCTAGAGCAATTCAAAGCAAATTAAAGCAAGATTCTTCTTCCTCGAGCTAATTGGATTTGATCTGCACAGTTTAGAGCAAGCTAACACTCAATTGAAGCACCAACGGAGTGTCTCCGTTAGGTAAACTTCCAATCCATTTTTCTCTCATGTTAGGCACTGATTTAGGTCATTGTTCGCTGCATCTGAAGCCCTACCTCGTGTAGGCAATGTTTGAGTACTTGATTGTCATGTTTGATGAAGTTTGCAAATGTACATTCCAAACATGATCCGTTCGATTCCCATAATTTAGCCGTGTTTAAAATAATTGAACCATGGATTTGGAATGTACGTGAGTAGAGCTTCAATTTGGTATAAAACTTGGCATGATTTGGTGAAGTTTGTTGACCTGAACGCTGGCCACCTCGCCGGAGAAGACGACCGAAGCTAGGGCTCCGACGTCTGGTTCAAACTCAGATGAAGGCTGATGTGTCCTTGGTTAACATGTTGACCTGATGAGATGAACGCTCTAGATTTGTTTGACTCTGCCTGCGTCGATATTTGACTGCCACCTCAATTATTTAAACAGTGCATTTTGGCTTATGATCTGAGTTGTGTGGATATGAGCTCAAGTTGCTTTTTGCACACCCTCTTTTGGAAGCCCTATGGATTTGAACGTGACTTGTTGCTATTTTCACCGTTTCCATTTAATTATTTTATTTTATTTTCATTTTATTTCTGTTTTGATTTTAATTAATTAAAAATACTTTCAATCATGATAAAATTCAACCAAAAATATTTTCTAACACTTTAATGTGTTATTTATTTTTTCATAATTTTTAATTTCATTTTCCATTTATTTTTCAATTAAATTTGAATTTTATGGTAGGAAGGTTTTTAAAGTGATTTTTAAATAAGCACTTCTGAAAAGCACTTATTTGAAAAAGCACTTTTGAGAAAAAACGCTTATTACATAAAGGTGATTTCTTTTCTTTTATCTCTCTCTCTCTGGTTGCCTCGGATAGAACAGACTGCTGCCGAATTTTGGCTTTTTGGCCGAGAATCGAATCGAGAGCCGGTTTCGAAGTAATCCGTTACCCTCCCGACACCCGGTGATTATGCTACTCTGAGGGTGTCAAAACTAACCGATAAAACTCGTTTGCTCATTTTGCAGGTTCGAAAGAAAAATCGGAAAAAAAAAGTCGGATAATCAGAAAAAACATAGGATTCACTACTATAAAAAAACTATTTAATAGCGTTTTTTTTTTGCTTTTTGATAGCGCTTAAAAGCGCTATTAACCAAGCTGCTATTGTAAAACGAAATTTTTGATAGCGCTTTAAAAGCGCTATTTAAGTACTGTTAATTAATAGCGTTTTTCCAAAAGCACTATTATAGTACCGGTATTTAATAGCATTTTTCCAAAAACGCTATTATAAGACACATATTAGATAACACTTTCAAACAAAGCGTTATTATAGTACCGATAATTTGCTTTGGTTTTGATAGCACTTTCAAACAAAACGCTATTATAAGACACATATTAGATAGCACTTTTCCATAAAAGTGCTATTATAATACATATCATTAATAGCAC